TAATGGAGGATGTTTCTTGATGCAACTCATGTAGATAAATGGCCAATTTTTTTACCAAAGTTCTTTTTTAGCTGCAACTAGGTAGTATTTTGGTTCTTTATTCATGCACAGTGTCAGTGTACAAATTAGGTATTAGATTTTTAAGATAAACTTTTATCATTAGCCAAAATGGATCATCCTTATTTGCTGACATTATCACACATAACTCAACTCACTGCTTATCATGAGAGTGGGCATGCAATTGTTGCTTTCAATACTGAGAATGCACATCCAATCCACAAGGCAACACTCATGCCTCGTGAATCTGCTCTAGGAATAGTTACCCAGATGCCTTCAAGAGATGAGACTTCAATTAGTAAGAAGTAATTATCAGCTTGCCTTGATGTTTGTATGGGAGGAAGTGTTGCAGAAGTGCTCATCTTTGGCCAGGACCATATTACAACTGGGGCAATTAGTGATATATAAACAGCTACTGAGGGTGCAAATCCAATCCACAAGGCAACAATCACGCCCCGTGGATCTGCTCTAGGAATGGTTACCTAGCCGCCTTCAAGTTATGAGACTTCAATTAGTAAGAAGCAATTATCAGCTTACCTTTATGTTTGTATGGGAGGAAGAGTTGCAGAAGAGCTCATCTTTGGTTAGGACCATATGACAACTGGGGCAAATAGTGATCTATACACAGCTACAGAGCTTGCTCAATATATGGTATATTTGAAAGTTTTTTTATTTTTTATATTTTGGATTTGTAATTCTCCATTTCTATATTTGTGTTTCCAGTTCATAGTCATTTATATATGGGGTATGGGAAAGAAATAACCAAAAACTTTGAGTAATGCTGATGTGCTGGAGTTCTCCATTCACTCTGAAAAATGCTGTCCCTTTTATTTAATTCCGCATTGCTTATGGCTTTCAGTTCTATGCTAGGTATCTAATTGTGGGATGAGTGATGCAATTGGACCTGTTCATATTGAAGAACCACCAAGTTCTGAAATGCAGTCTTGCATTGATGCTGAAGTATGTTTCTGCAAGCTGGAGTTCTGATTAGTATAATTGTCTTTTCAATCTTAATTTGTCTTTCGTTTTTTTTTTTTACGCAGGTGGTGAAACTTCTAAGAAAAGCATATAATCGTGTGAAAGCCCTCTTAAAGAAGGTATGTTCATGAAACCACATTGTTTTATAATTTTCATATTGATAAGGAGTAAGAAACCATATCATATAACAAGGAATTAAAAAGAATCTGAATGGTAGGATCCTAGCTTCTAAGATTCCAGGAATATGTATGAAAAAAGATTTGTTTCTATAAGTTTTTGTTCATCCATGGAGTAAGTTTTAAATAAAAGTTATGTTTCGACTGGCAGTAGAAAAGTGAAATAACTTTTCAGTAATCAAATTTCTTTCTGCAAATTCTCAAGTTCAACGCTTTGTTTTACCTTTTTATTAAGCATGAGAGGGCATTGCATGCATTAGCAAATGCACTTTTGGAATATGAAAGATTTTAGTACGGAAGAAATAAATGGCATTATTGTCCTATACGGATAAGGAATATTGCCCTAGGAACAAGAACCAATGTGATGTATCTCACATCGAGTAAAAATATCATTTATATGCAATTTAAAAGAGATTACTTACGAATGTTGGAGTCAATTAAATCATGTGAGCTTACTAAGAGTTTTCCTAACGGGTTTGACAATTGTAAAAGTCAACTATAGGTATTTGAGCACTTGGAGCACTTTAGCTTGTTTAATAAATATATTTAATTTTTTTATTTTTTATTTTTTATTTCAGCATATTATTAAAATTTATTTTTATATTGAATATATTTGTTTAAACAAAAAAAATATGATAATCTAAATAAACATATCTGAACAAAAAAATATGGGTATATAGAATATTATGATTTTTTAAATCGACTTGATCAATGACTGTTCATTTATTATAAAAATTTTTTCATTAGATCAATTTTACGACTTTTAGTTTGTAGAGATTTTTTTAAGGTTTTATTATATTTATAAGTATAATTATTTTTAAGATAATGTCGCAGTCATATTTTTTCTTTCTTATTATTTCTTAAATTTTCTAGCAAGAAGAACAGTAAGAAGGGGAGCTAGTATTGGCTTAAACTATGACATACATCTGTAATCTACTTGACTATAGGGGAAGCTTTGTACAGCTTTACAGGTAATTATTTTTTATATAACTAGTGTAAGTCACGCTACGTTGCCCAAGTTATTAAATACGCAATATTTATAATGAAATTCATGAGAATAGAAGTAAAAGTATTATAAATAAAAAAATAAACATATTAAATCAAATATAAATATAATTTTAAAATGTTTCTATTCAATTAAGAAGGAAAGGAAGCTTCCTCGGTCTATAGACTCTTGATAACTTATTACACAAAAATAAAGTATAAATCCTAATGAAGATAAATAAAACAAATGCATTATCATTTTCCCTTTTTTCTGAACACGATTAAATCTTTTTTTTACAGTAAAAATAAACGAACGAAAAATTTTAAAATGAAAAAAAAATAATAATTAAACAAATGAAACAAATCTGCATAACAATCCAGTTTGCCCACCGACCTCGAAATCAATCGGCAGACTTTCTTTCTTCATCCTTTTATTCTTTATTCTCCATCCTCAGTCTCTCTCTTTATCCGTGATTTATTCCCCCAATCTAAACTAAAACGATGAAAGTAGTAAGATCCAAACACTTTTTTATTTCTGTGTCCTTTTCCACATTCCTTCCTTATCTCCCTCCCTGCTTTTTTTTTGTCAATTATTTCTGTCTCTAGAAAATTTATCTCCTGAAGCTTCTTTACTTTTTTTTTTTTTTTCATTTGTAACTTTAACTAAACTACAATCGTTGTGACTTGAGAAACCAAAACAAAAAAAAAAAGTTGAAAATGGAGATTGAATTGAAATTATAGATGTCAATGCGATTGAAGAGATTATTAAATCTACTATCAATTAATAAATTTAACCATTTGTTAACGAATAAATGAATGGTAAATATCATTCAAAGAACTATTTAGGGATAGTTTTAAATATATTTTTTGTATTAAAATTAAAATCGTGGATTATTAAATTATATCAATATGTCTTGTCATTTTTAGATAAAATATTGGATTTTTAAATATTTTTATCTCACTATCTCAATTATCAAGATGGTATCATAGCTTAAATTTTGATTGTATATTTCACGTGTATGGACAATACAAAAAGACTTTGTCAACAACTGTTGTAATAATTTTTGTTCCTTTCATTCAACTAAATATAAATGAACTAGTATTAAACTAGTTTGTGATCCAATGTACAGATTGTTTTACTTATTTAAATGTGTTTACACCGGAAAATTTATATTTTTTTTTACAATTATATCTAAATCTTTAAAATTTTGACATATATAAAATATAAATATATATATATATAGAATTAACATATCATAAGAAAATTAAACTTTACTATTATTATCTTGATCAAAATGTTGAAAACAAATATATATATATAAAAAAAAAAGAGATATTAGATATGGATAAAAAAGTAAAAAAAAATAATTGAATATAAATATAGTATTAGTTTTGTGGAAGAAAATAAAAATATAATATCAAATGATCAATTAAAAATAGAAAAAGTATTCACATATCTTTATTAATTTATGATTTTGATCAAAAATACTAAAAAAATCAATTAAAAAATGTGTTGCAAACAAAAAAAAATGAATAAAAAAATCAAAACAAGAAATCATTTAAGTAAAAAAAAAAAAACAAAATCACAAAAGCAATATAAATCTTAAAAGAAAATTGAATACTGGAAAAAAAATGACATAGCAAATATTATTAATAGGCTTAAAGGGATGTGTTTTTTTTAATTTAAAAAGAAACTAATAATAAGATATTTGAAAATTGAAAAAGATAAATGAGATATGTGTGATTTTAATTTAGTGAGAATATTTTTTGTTTTCAATTTTTTTTTTTGCATATTTATAGTACAAAAAATTTTTTAAAAAAATTTATAGTAAAAAATCAATAACTTAATTTGTTTTTAAATTTAGCATTATTTTAATTAAAAACTAATTACTTTGTTAATGAATATTTTATCATATATACACCAAAATTTCAATTCACCATCTATATAAAAAAAATATTTTTCACCTATTTTATTCTTAATTATTTTCTTAAAAATTTTATAGATAATTACCATTATTCTATATACATCACAGGTTATATAAAACGTTGAAAAATATTATTGTAATTCAAATAAAAATAATGATAAGTATTGTATATTGTTATCGACTTATGGTCTTATTAACTTATTTAAAAAAGATATTTTTATAACATTTTACTTAAATTTATACACTAAAAAATTAAAGTTGGTTATTTATTTTATGTATATGATGAAATTATAACAATACACATATTTCATGCATGCATTTAAATTTACTAATTACTACACAAAAACTAATTGACTTAAGATGGAAAATATTGAAAACATATATTACAAATCTAATAATAAGAACATAATATCTAAATATATTCACACTTTACATAATAATAATAACAATAATAATAATAATAATAAGTCCAAAATTTCAAAATTGTTTTACAATGTACTTGTATAGTTTTAAATGTAGGATGAAAAATATGTACATGTTCTATAAAAAAATATTCACATTAATCTTAAATAAGATTTTATTTTTAATTTTTTTCATTGGAATGATCACATTATCCTTATCTCATTTAAATGGGAATAAAGATTATAAATTATTTAATATAAAAAATTTTGGATAAATCGAATTTATTAATATTTGAAACATTTTTAAAATTTAAATAATAAGATTATTTGGTAGTTATCTACAATTACAAAATTATTCTTCATACCAATAACATACATTGTCCATATAAGCTTACACATAAGCAATTTTATAAAGTAATCACATATCTTGTAATATAATATTATTATATATGATATATTATTAATTAAAAACACTCTTAATTACATTACATCAAAAAAATTGTCAGTCAATCATTGACAAATGTCATTGAAACAATCCTAAGAGATTGAGATTGTTTTCATACACAAGTATAGACTTTATATAATTTCTGGCAATTTTTCCCCCACCATTGTCCTGAGACGTTTTATAGGAACTCTTAGACACCGCGGGACGAGGCATCCATCAGAAATGATCCCAGTCCTATGAAACAGCCGAGACCGACATATTTCTTGTACTATTTGTGAAATCATGTATTATTTGCACTTTTACCTTATTCTGGGTGAAGTATTGAATTGTGTAACATGGAGTGACAGTTTATAAAATCCAATTCCCAACTTCTGAGAAAGTTCTTACGTTCTTTCCCTTCTGCGTTTGGGCACTTCTAATCCCTCGATGACTCTATTGCAGCATTAATTCTTCAATTATTCCTCCAATGCTACTTTCAGGGTTGATTTTCTTTGGCCGTTGCGAAGCTTTAAATGGATTGATTGTGGAATACGTAAGAATATTATTGGCACATTCGTTCTTGATTATGTTCATGATCTTTCTTTCTTTTTCATTTTTGGATGACAAGTACGTTTTCTTCTGTGTCTGTGCTCTAAACTGACGCTACTCTTCATCACCCAAAAGCCCAAGGCCCAACGTCGAGGGACAATCATTGCCCCAAAAGCCTAAGGCCTGACTGCAGGGTTCTTAAGCCGAGCTCCGACAACAGCTTCAAAACTACTGATCTCCATTCCATGACTGAGCGTTTCTATGCTTCAAAACTACTGATCTCCATTCCATGACTAGGCATTTCTATGCTTTCAACAATGATGGTCAGCACTTGGGAGCATCAAGAAAACAATCGTTCGACTGTCACTATGGGACAGCATTTTCCACCAAACCTGCAACTAGAAACTACCACTGTCACGAGACAAACGCAGAAGCCAGAAATCAAAAACCAACTCTTTATGAACAACCATTAAACACCACAATAACAAAACTCTGGATCAGCTGAACAACTAGTCCCTCCTTTTTCCTTCTCTTTTTTTTTCACTTTTTTTCATCTTTCAACAGAAGAAACTTTATAATAATTGTGGTTCTTGATCTACTTAAGACAGGAAAGCAGAGAACAATAATAAATAAAAGGAATGCAGTATGAGTGTATCTTAGAAGATGGAAGACCCACAATTGCCAGTCCATCTCTAAAGCCTCCTACATACGAAAGCCTCCAAAGCTTCATCCATGGCAACTAAAGCCACCACCTTGTCTCCTCAGCCCCAACTTCAAAGATCAATGGGTTCTGTCCGGTCCTGCACTGCTAACCCTTCTGAGACATCTGCAAGTGATTTGAGATTGCACTTGATCAAAGCTTCAACAAAGTAGCATGTCTCATCCTTTGTGTTCCCCTCAGGCACGTCCACTACAAAGGATTCAATGACTAGAGTCCCAGGTCTTCCATCAATGATCTCTGGATGGAGGGAAATGATTGAAGAGTAGTTCTGGATAAAAAATAAAATAAGGTTAAAGGCATTCTGGAAACGAAACTTAGCTGCAGATGTAACTACCTGGATTTTCACCATAAAAAACATCCGTGTCCAGAATATAGATAACATGCATACTTTCATGAAGCTTGATGAATATTATACAATCAGCTACTATCTTATCTTGTGGAACACAGAGCAAAAACTGCAAGCAAATGCACTTCAATTGTTTTTTTCTGAAAATGAATGGAATTATGAGTAACTATGCGAAAGATAGATAGCCCTAGATGTTCATGGAGGATGAATCATAAAAGATAGAGAATGAAAAAGATTAAAATTAAAAGAAAAAAAAAAAAAAGCCAAGATGTCCCTACCTTAAGTCTGTGATCCCCACCAATAATCCTGATGCTGAGGATATGCTCGTCATCATCAAGGAGTTCCAGTCTTTCAGTACTTGTAGTTGCCGGGAGCCCCGACTTGACATCAACTTCTCTAAGACTCCCAATCTCAAGGTTTCCCTGCACGACACACCTGCTGACAAAAGGTTTATACTTCTGTGGTTCGTCAAATCTCCTCACCAAAGACCAAACCTGTAAAAAGACGAAGCAATACAAATTTCAGGAAAAATATGCATATTCAGGGGAAAAAAAGATTCAACCAAGGTTATAGATAAAAAGTTCACAAAAATATAAGAATCAAGCTCTACAATTGTGGAGGAATGAAGTATTTCTACGTGATCTGAATATCCACTATTAGTTATCTATCTTTCACCTTTCTTTGGCATATTAATCCTATTTCTAAACATTCATTTCGTATGTGAAAAATGGAGAAAGAAAAGGAAAGAAATTTTTTTTGGAGTATATGCTTCACATCATTCCTATTTCTAGGAAATGCAATAAACCAACAAGACAAGTTGCATATAATTCAATTAAATCTTAACCCCATTGTTCCCGAGGAAATGAATGTATCAGGGAAAAACCTTTGGACAACTCAATCAATAAAAAACAACAAACTTGCTCAAATGATTTCAGAAGGTAGTAAAGAGATTAAAAATTTTAACAAAAAAAATTGATAATAATATGGATCTCAATTTAGGATTTAGTAACACATAAAATTCAAAGAAACGAACAACTTTATCCAAGTTTTGAGTTGCACCTTAGCATTAAACATAATCAACATGCTCTCTGTTTCGCCCCCAAAAGATCAAATTTTGAATGTCAGATTTAAAAATAATCGTATCTAACTCAACAAATTAAAACATGCGAGAGATTCTTCTATTTAAACATTTCCCGATCAAATTTCTCAACAACAAAACATGAAAGTTAAGGCAGTTTACATAAGCGAGCATAGCAAGTGTAAGAAATTAGATTCAATCTTCTGTCTTTTGTTTTTATAAAGGAATAACCAATAAATTAAATTGAAACAATCAAGATTTCCAGAACTCAAAAAAGAAAACCACCAGAGATCAAGATTAACCCACCTCGAGAACAAAAGTCAAACATTGACAAAATATATCACTCAGAAAAAATGACAAAATAATCACTAAAAAAAGGAAAATCTTTGATCGGTAAAGCTATGAAAAGAGAGAATAATAAAACCTTCCAAATAAATAAGCAAAAGAAGAAAGAAAACGAAACGAAATAGAGAATGATGAGTGAGAGGAATCTTGAGAATGATGAGTTGAAAAATCGAATCCATACAAAACGTAAACAAAGAGAGAGAGTTACGAGAGGAACAGGAGCTTTGATGTGCTTAACAAGAGCTGAACAACACTGATTCTCTCCAGTCTCATGCCGATGATGTCTCCTTGTATACTCAGTCGTCGCCAACACCGCCGCACTCCCAAATACATCGCTATGCCCATTCATTGTCTCCTCTTCTTATAAATCCAAAACGCTCACTTTTCTCTCACGCAACCACAACAAACAAAGCATTCTACGTCGTCTCGTCCACCGGCGACCAGAGCTCCGATCACCGATCGGACTAATTCTCCGACGACGCTTCTAGAAATTGTCAAATCTTGTTTAACTCGAAAGGAAGAATAAGAAGAAAAGCCTGTGAGCCACCGCCATAAAACGAGAGAAGCTACTAGACTTCTTCCAGCTCTAAGCCTCCTATCACCTATCTCATCACCTCAAATGATAATAATAAAAATAAAAATAAGACTCATCTTAAATGCTTCAATTTTTTTTTATTACTGGATCGGCTCTTCGGTTTGACATCGGATTATGAATGTTATTACCAGAATTGCCATTAATTTTGTCTTCTTCTGCTTTTGTCTTTTCTCCTTTTGGAAACTGTCCCCCCGTGTTAGTTGTGTCAAAAGAGGAAAAACTAACTGGCCGTTGGAATTTTAATCTTTACAAAAATGTTGTAAGCATTATTTAAGCTGGTATTTGTAAAAAAACAATTTTTGTAACTATTATATTATTTTAATTTAAAGAAAATTAAATTAAATTAAAAATAATTTTTAAATAATAACTTAATTTACTTTAATCAACTATAAGCATTTGTTAATTGGATACTTAATAGTAAAAAAACTGGACCTTTTAATATTTTATTGGTTTTTGAGATAAATATTGGCTCATTTGTGGTTTGGTTTTGCAAAAATATATTATTAGATAGATTTATAAATTTAAATATGATATTTTAAAAAAATAAAAGTGATAGATTTAAAATTTTAATAAAAATTATATATAAATTTAATAAAAACATAATATATAGATACAAATTATAATATAATAATTTTTTATGTATGATATAAAATAAACATTAATGCATACAAATTATCATATTTAAAATTAGATAATTTTTTATCTTTTTTATATTTTTTTTCACTTTTGTAAATTTATAGCTGAAATTTCCGATAAATGAATTTTTTACTTTAAGCTTTAATATTGATATTTTTTCGTGAAATTCATTGACTGTTTGAATGATATAAAAGGGTAATTTTATCGGTATATTAAATTTTATGTAATTTTAAATTATAATTAATAAATTATAATTCATAAATAATAAATCAAATACTCCGGACCGCATTAACTCTCAAGGCAAAAAGAAGCTACTTCAACCACGCTCATTGAAGGACGCGTGGATTTCAATCTCGAAAAGCAGCAGCGAGCATTTGCAAGATGCTTGCTTTTTCAGGAAATGGTACGGTGTAAAGTCACTCGTTAACTGGGCAGCCTTAGCTTTAAGCCTTAAAATAATCATTTTTCATTTTTTCTCAACAGAGATTTGAGAGTGCCACAAACGCTCTGTAAAGGAAAGTGAGTAGAATTTTGTCGTTTTCTTAAGAAAAAAAGAAACTTTTAAAAATCTCAAGGAAGCGTGCGTTGAAGGTCAGCTGCACGTGATGGAGTAGGAGGTTTACAAATCGCCGCAGGCAACAGACTATAAATTTGGTTCGTCAAAATAAAATAATTCTGGTTATAAGGTAAATTACTATGAGAACCTCATAGTAAAAATTAATTACGTCATCACTAAATAAGTCATTAATAGCATGAGCAGAAATCAAAGTTTTCTTTGACTTTTTTTTTTTTTTCAAATCTTTGTGAACAACTTCTGTTGATTTTGTGTGGGAATGAGCTCTCAAAATAAATAGATTGATAGTGATTATTCTTGGCTTCAACTAATTGAATTGTGATCATAATTGAGCCGTCATCCATAGCCATGATCGACTTTGATAACTCTGAATCTGATGTATTATCAAATAATGTTTATAAATATAAGTTTGATTTAAGTTTGCGACAAATCTATCACTTTCCCTTCTACCAAATAATGGAAAGATTATTTTGAGGATATATCAAAACAACATGTCACTTCATTTACAATTTCTAACCCCATCTCATGGCTAGAATTATTCTATCACATGCTATGGGACCTTCAGTATTTTTCATGAATCAATGTTAGAATTTCAATTTCGATTATTCAAAGCATCAAGAAACCAACAGAATTCCTGTGCCCAGTTGCAGCCTGAAGATTCTGGAAGTTGGCAGAGTGCAAGAATCATTGTGTCAGAGGTTCGGGTTATTTCAGGACATGATGTTGTCTTCAGCCTTCCCGCACAAAACTAGAAGTGCTTCTCTTCTTGTTTTCATCTTACATTTTTTTCCCTTTCCTTTTTGTAACAGCATACTGCATTACATGGTTAAATTATCCAAGAGATCATGAACTTTAACTCAGCTTTATAATTACAGCTAGTTAGTAAGCAAACTTTAAGATTTTATTCTGATATGATTTGCTGAATATGGATGAGTTGGTTTAAATCTGGTTTTTGTTCTGAGCAAAAGATTATTGCCAAACAAGAATGTTGTCCGAAGTTTTTGATGGCAACAGCTAGTCGAGAACCATTGGTTATGTGATTTCACAAGAGTCCAAAACATCTAATTATAGCTGTGAGATTGTGCTTTAAATTTCATATATGTCCGTTATGATTATGATAAATTTAGAGAGAAAATCATTTCAGGGGTTCTTCTGTGCCTTCTTCTACCCGTTTTGTCCAAACAAATCTGAGTTAATAGATAATCCATAATTTCTATACTTGTGTCACTGAAAACCATTGAAATTTGTTACATATAACAAGTGAGCAATTCAAAGACACGATAAACATGTCATTAAGCAACCAAATTTCTTAAACCTGCAGTTGATTGATAACCTGTCAGGCAAAACAAGGGATGACCTCCCTCTCCCCTTTGCTCAGGAAACTGAAGTGATGGGATTTCTGCAACCATATGTAAACCATACATATTTGTATCAATTAGTTAAAGAGATGAAGCAACTTTTAAACGAATCAAAATTAAACTCTGATGTAGGCATGTGCTAGCTCTCGAATTTAGACACAGACACCTGTCACATTCTAGATTCCTTTGTAAGGAGATGCAGGGATTCCATGAGTGCAACATGAGGTATATGGAAATGAAAAGCAAAGAACTTGTCTTCCACTTCAGGTCATCTTTCATCTGTCTCGTAAAGAACCATTATATTCTGATTTTAGGTCGTTAGAAACGTTTGGTGGAATCTCTGGAGGCCTTAGCCTTTTGGTGAACTTGGGGTTTGCCTAACCGATCATAATTGTAACCTCGTTGAGGAACTATGTATGGTAATTCACATTCATGTCAGAAAATTACATGCGCCAAATACTCTTCGGGCTTTTTCTGCTCAAAAAACCAATGATTGAATTAGCAAAATTAATATTTCCGGCCAAAATAAACCTACAATATCAAAAATATCAGAAATAAGATGTGGCTGAGGCATAATCTACTAGTTGGTAGCTGTATGTCCTTGATCCCATAATTAAAATCCCCTCTACAATTCATTTTGGTAGCTCTAGGCGAGTAGGCAAAGACCTGAAACAGCACGCAAGTTATTTAAGTGCTACGGATGATATCTCTCGCTAGTTATGTCTTGTGGCTGTGAAGGCTCTACATGCTGCACTCTATCTTAGGGCTTTGTTTTATGTGTGACCTACCATAATCATGTACAGCAAATTAATTAGTCACTGCGATCTAACTATCGACAGTTAAATAAAAATTTTAAAAGTTTTAAAATTAAGGGAGTTTTTATCAATTTTTTTTAGATATATTTAGATATTTAAAAAGTTTATCTTTTTAATAAAATTTTAAAATTAGTTTAAAATCTATAAAAAAAAATAATTTTGATTTTTAAAATTAAAGATAAATTCAGAATTAAGATTATGCTTAAAAAAAATATTAGTACCACACAATATCCATTTTAAAAATAATATCAATTAATCATTTATTATCCCTTAACCTTGATAAAAGTGATCTTATTTTTTATATTTAAAGTTAGTTTCCTTAATTTTTCTTATTGCAATAAAAAACATCATTTTATTTTATTTCTTTTGCTTAAAAAATAAATAACAATTTTGTGTATTGAAAAATTCTCAAAAATATTTCAATATTTTGATAATATTAAGAGAAATTTTATCACTTAAAGATTTTTCAAAAATTGCTATTCAAATTTCTAAAGAATCACACTCTTGACGGTTTATATTTAGCTTTAAAATTAATATTTAATAAAATTATATTCATAATTTAACCCCAAATAACATTTTTTTTTTATGAAAAATTCAATTCTTATCTATTTATTAGGTAAAGGGTAAATGAAAATCTTTATTGAAAATTATTCTAAATGTTCCAATATTTTGATAGCATTATAAAAAAAAAAATTTATTTAAAGATTTTTGAAAAATCACTACTCAAATCTTTTTAAAATTTTATTTTAAGAGATTTCATTATTTTTGAATTGATGTGTATGCATGAAATATAATACTCATGGATCGCATTGTATAGCAATTTAATTTTTTAGTAAGGAAAAGTAAACAAGTATTTTTATATTAAAAATTATTCTAAATATTTTAATACTTCAACAATATTTTTAAAAAAATCTTTTCACATAAATTTCTTTTAAAAGATCACTATTTAAACTTTTTAAAACTCATTATTGAAAATTTGCATTACTTTCAAGAATATTGTATAAATGCAAATGACGAAATATGACATGCGTGCAAAAAGTGTTTTTATTCATTTTGCTTATTTTTCCTTATGTTATAACTTATCTGGCTTGTTTTTTTTTTTTTTTTTCTATTTGTGTTTTAATTATCTAATTATTGTATCTTTATTATTATTATTTTATCTAATTGTTTTATCTTTATTATTATTATTTTACAAGAAACAAAAAAAAAAGCTTCTTTATTATAAAATTTTCTTGACATCCTAATACTTTGACAACGTTTTAGAAAAAAAATTTTACATAGAGATTCCTTAAAAATCACTACTATGATTTTTTTAAAATTTCATCTTTGAAATTTTTTATTTTTATTTTTTAAAAATTATTAATTATTAATTATTGTAAATAATATTCATACATTATTACATACAATCCTATTACTAAAAAAAGATTCATTCTTCCTTCCATTATTTTTATTTTTATTAGTTTATCATTATTCTATATTTTTTAGGAAAATAAATAAATAAAAATATTTTATATTAGATATTTTTCTAAATTCTTTATTACTTTGATCGTATTTTAAAAAAATATCTTTACCTAAAGATTTTAAAGAATCGCTATTTGGACTTTCTTAATCTGTCATCTTTAGATATTTTTATTTTTTATTTTTATTATATTTTTATATG